ATAGTGTGTGACTTCTCATAGCTTTAAAGCTGCATGCAGGGATTGGTTCTGTGCTGTATATATGCAGAGGAGTAAAGGAATGTCATTTCAGTATTTATTATTCTGTAGAAAACATCTGTGGCACAGTGCCTGTGAAAATGATGATTATCAGCCATAAAAAGATATGACAGTTCACTTCAGAAATTAGTTTATTGATCTCTGGAACATTGCATTTACTTTCCAAAGTAAACAAAACCGTTTGCTTCTGGTAAATGGTGAAAAAAGCTTCAGCTTCTTTGTGAGCAGGAAGGGCAATCTCCAGGGAGAATGAGTCATGAAAACATTAGTATAGTTGGAACTTACTGTTCTACAATTCCATTATTTTAATTGTTAGGATTTTTGATATCCAAATGGAAGCATTCATTATGCTGCTTTTTCATCTTGGAGATGGGCAGTCTACTAAAATAAAAATCTTAACGCGTATCTGTGTTAGCTAAAGCGTACTTTAGCTAGTTTTAGGTCGTAAAACCAAGATGAACGCAAGTAACAAATTAATCTTTTATTAGCTTCTTTATTATTCTGAGCAATGGTAAAGTGTAGCCTCAGGAAAGAATATTTGTAGTCCTTTTGGGATGCTTCAGCTGGTGGATTTCTTGACTCATTATTGGTAACATGCATTGCTAATTGTTGAAGAGCTTATGTCTTCCTTTCATCAGACCTTTCACTATCTTTTTATGTATTTATTTGCAAACCAGAGAGCAGTAGGACCAAAGAAAAGGAGATATGGTAGTAGAGGGGCAGATCAGTCATATCAGCAGCACTAGGGGGAAGAGCGGTGGATTAGGAATAAAGATCCATCAGTTACTGTCATTGCTTTGATTTCCTGGGAGAGTGGCATTAATGGCTGTTGTAATATGATGTGTAATTAGAATGCTTTTAGCTGTGGAAAACATCACGTAGGTTTTAACATTTTAACAAAATTGGAAGATTTTGATTTTTGCGCAGCTGTGTATCGATGCAAGAGAGATGCTTGTCATTCCCAGTATTTAATCTGAAGAAGTTCTGCAAGAGGAGTCAAGTATTTGGCTGGGACATAGGTGTTGACAATGTGTTGTAAAATTCAAAAGTGCATAAGGGGCTGAGTGTGTAGTTCCTGGGAGGCCTCTTCTGGCAGTGGCAGGAAGAAGCTGTCAGAAGAAATTAGCTGCCGCCTCTGTCTCCTTAGGTGGAGCAGGCACAGTGCTCTGCTGCTGTTCTCTGTGGCATTGAGGAGTGGAGCCCCACTTCAAAAGGGTTTGAGTGGTTGTAGAAACTGCCTCCTCTAGACATTCACCTGCACATTGTGTATGACTGCCTTTGCAAGTTGTAAGTTGGAATTTTTTACATTTATCATTAGGCCTTGCCTAAGCATAGCTTCATGGGTAGCCACAGGTCCTGGTGCTGAGGTCATTTAGGGTTTGGATGTTACAGACATCCTCTAAAGAATAATCCCAAATTAGATGCTAGAGGGTTTGTGTTGTGGGCTGGTGGAGTTTTCTGGCGCAATGGTCAGGAACATTGGGTCACTAGATGGATGAAGGATATAAAGGGACAGAAAACGAAGAGATGAGGAAAACTTGCTTAGAGACCTGTAGGAGTTGTTCAAACCAATGTATTTGGCTCCGATATTTGGCACAGACTGTGGCTGTACGTGCTAATTCACGATTGCAAATCTTCCTGACTTGGTGAGCTGCATAGGATTGGTGACTATCTTGTGCTGAGAGGGGAAGAGGAGGACTCCAGGAGAGGCTCACCGGCAGAGGTGATCTCTCCCTAGACATGCACTATTGCAGGGCAAGGCATGCAGCTGAACGTCAGGCACACCAGGCAGTGTGATATGGTCAGCCCTTGCCAGGCTGTGAACTTCTATATGTAGAGATTTGGGGTTACCTAGTGTCTCTGTAGCAGCCTTCTTGAGCACCACCCGCTGCTGAAACTACAGATGGGTTGTTCTTCCTGATTTTCTTTCCTGCTCCACTGATTCCCAAACTCCATGTCCTAAATGACTGTCCCACCAAGAGCCGTTGCTGTGAGCTGCCACATGCCTTTGCAAAAATTAATGAAAAGCCATCTTAAATGCACTGTGATCCCATAGATTGTTTATTCTGCCTCAAGTCACGGTTTAGGAGTGTAGCTGATGTAGCCCAGTGAGTTATGGTATGAACTAGAGCAAATCTTGCAGGAAAAAAAATCTAATCTGGATTAGGAGACTCCTAAAATGATGGGTGTATCTGTTTCTTGGAAATGTGTTCATTACTTATTTGTGGTACAAAGCCAATTAAAAAAAAAGAAATGCGGCTAGCTAGCAGCTTTTGTACTAATATTTCACTATCAAATTTATGACTCCCAAGCGTAAGTGGGGTTTGGTGAAAGGCGTATCATGTTAGGTGATGTGATGAGAGAAAAAGTGAGGTGTGAGCTGCAGTCAAGGTGTCCGTTGTGATCCATGGGGTCAGCTGCAGATAGTTCACTGCAGTTTGAAACACTGTCTTAAGGAAAATAGCATTGAATTGCTAAATAATATCAATGATACAGTTATTAACTTAGAATATATGTGCATTTCAATTCATGAACATATTTCTCAATGTGTGCATGTTAAATGAGATTATTTTAGTGGCTGTTTTTTCTGAAAGCTGACTGTCCTAGAATTCCTTCCTGATTCTGTATCTAAACAGAAACAGTGCATGGATCTTTCCATATTTGTTTTATGTTACTTTTGTTATTTGCAGATCTATAACGCCTTTCCCCCTGCCAAGAAAATCAAAACATAATAAAACTTCACTTCTCACAGAATGTTGTTTTCTTTCAAGCAAAACTAATGGCTAAACTCACTGTTTTACATTGCTGCTGTTTATCTGGGTTTTAGGATCAGTTTAGCTATATGAAGGTGGCAGTTGTATATTTTTAATATCGCGATCACATGATACTAGAATGTCAGTGATTCTCAGAAGATTTCATTCTAAAACCAAAATAACTTTAATTAAACTGGAAGATAAGTTGATCTTATGCTGAAAAAATGAACTTCTCTCGTTCTTCCTCTGCAACCTCAATTTGGTTTAGAAGTATTCTGATGCTAGTCAGTTAAAAAAGAAACATCGGTAAGTATATTCTGCTATTATATATCAGGGATAGCCCTTCTCTGAGTTTCCTTTTTTTAAATTGAAGTTTCACAATCTCACCCAGTTTCCCTCATCCCCTTCCTTCTCCCAAATACCTTTTCTTCTGCCTCTAATTGTAGTTATTTCTAAACAATGCTCTTTCAAATGGAAGATGAATTAAAAACCTGGCAACCTACTGTGCCCTTCTGACAAATTCCACTCTCTGTGCTTTTTTTTTTGCCTTAGAGTCAAATGCAGTTTTAATGCAATTGTGAATTATCAGCCAGGATGGATAGTTTTTGAATGTCTGATTCTACAAATGCTTATTATTACAATCTTATTAGTCATGGTAGTAAAGTATATATTCATTGCAGAAACAGAGTCAGACCATCACTCTTGGAAGTGTTTGTAAATGTAAGTCCAGACCAATGGAATAATGCTTATTTCTATGAGTATAGCAGCTCTTTGCACGACGGGAATGTGATAACCCATTTTTTAAACCTTCAAATGCCTCAAAAAGTCTGAAGTCTAGTATTGTGTGGGGGTGGGATCATGTAACTTATTTCACTCTTCCTTCTTGGCACTGCCAGATAATCTGTTTTGTCACTTACAGTCAGTGTAGTGGGAACATGGTGCCTGACTTCAATTCCAGTGCTAGTTGGAACCTCTCCACCTTGGATTTAAAGTCTTTTAATGAAATTACCGCAGAATTGCCAAGTTTGACCTGTAAGGGATAAGGAGAGAGATTGTACCCAAGGGATATTTTTGCGCACTTGCCAGCAGACTCAAGAGTACTACCCCACATTGATGATAACTGTCTTAGCAATGTTGAAGGCTGCCATCTTTACTTGTGCAGGGTTTGTAGGAGAGGTGAAATGGTATTTCACCCATAGGGATGTGTATTTACCTCACTTTCTTAAAGTGCTACTAAATGTCGCTGTGGGGTGGTTTGTGTTTCATGAGGTAAGAGTGACTCTGTTTCAGTTTTAACCTTACAGATGAAATCAATAGTTCAAACAGAAGGGAGAAGCTTTTTTATGTTGCACTTTTATATATGATGTCCCACGGTGCTCTAGTGCACACTGGAGCTTGATTGAGAATTGCTCTTCTAAAGAACTCCAGGAAAACTCTGGTTTGAGGGCTGCAGAAAACAAACCAAGATGGCAACACTGACAAACAGTTAGATAAGAACAGAGAAAGTTCTTGAATGTTCAGACTGATTTTATAGGTTGTATGTTAAGAGTAATCACACTGCAGATACTGTTGGAGATTTATTTCTGGCCTTTTTTGTATTTAGGGTTTATCCCAAGCTTACTCCAAAACATCTTGACTGTTTAAGCCATGGGGTTTTTTTTAAATGTTAACGTTTAATTGGTGTGTGGATTGGCCTTGCCAAAATTGCCGCTCCTCTAATGTTGAAAACAGCACTGCACTGTTTCAGAAGTTCACCAGGTGAAAGCATTAAGATTTTTTTTTTTCTTCCTTGCTGTTCATACCAGTTTGATGAATTATAGGTCAATGGCTTAATAAAAAATATTTGTGTTAGCACTGTTATTACTCTGTCTGCAAAATCCTTCCTAATCTTTCATAAAAAGTATGGTTGTAAGAACTTAGCAGCATGTTAATATGTAATGAGTTTGTGAAGATTTTTGCAAAGGCTGATTTCAGACAATCCAAGAAACAGAGGCAATAGCCACAGTGTTTTCAAGAAGATCGCTGCTGAGCAATGCAGATGGTTCAGAAGGAATAAATCAGTCCTGAGCACAGTTACACCTCCAGATTTAGGTTTGTGAGGAAAGTAGAACAGTGCAAATCTGTAGCCTGAATTGTAAATTATTTACTTGTGTAAAGGTACTGATATCAACATCCCATTGCTTGTTCTAGAGCATTTCATCCTCGCGAAGTAGAAGCTCATCTCTGCTGCCACCTGGGACAGTTAATGCTGCATCTCCTAGTGGCCAGAAACATATGAATCAAAGTGGGCCAACTGTTGTAACCATCACACATCACAAATCACCTGCAGCTGCTCGAAGAGCGAAGACCCAGCGTTCTGGTCAACTCCATGAAGTCAGAGAGGTAAGAGATAAAAATCTGCTGTTTTGCTATAACTTCTAAATGCTTATTTTGCTTTAGAATAAGCAATGAAGTCTGACAAATTAACAATTCTCTTTGTTTCCTATTTTATGTTTGACTCCCCTCACTGAGCAAAAGGCAGTCTTTAGTTCAGGTTCAACTTAAAGTCTGGTGTATACAGGCTTTTTTATGCTGATGTTAAAATTAGTGTGTGCACATGCTTAGAAGAGGAAGTAGGTTGGCCACAGCTCCCAGACTTCGCTGTGGTGCTGTGGTGCTGGAGGAACATCTCTCTTAGCTGCACGCAACAAAACCTTTCAGATTGGAAAGAGGGCCCTGGAGCATTTAAATATGACTAGAAAAAAACAACTTGAGTAAGTCTGATGAATGAATGTGCAAGAAGGTGCAGCTCACCACACTCAGCGGTTTGTTTCTATACGGCAATAGTCTTAACTTTGTTGTCAAGTTTCTATTGCTGGTTTTGTGACAGAAGAATGCTTTGTCCCTATTAAACACATGAAAGGCAAACAAGAAAGCATGTTTCTTTCAAAGTGTGTTTACCAGGGTTTGAGAAGTATAACTCATATACTGATTTAAGTCTGTCTTCCAGATGACAAAAATAATACAGAGTTTCAGGCTTAAATAGTACGGCAGACTTTCACAGAACTCACTTTCAACTTTCTTTCATCCCTTATTATTTTTGCTTTGTCTGAATTTCTTGCTATTCTCTAATAGTACCTTTGTCGGTCCCCTTCCCACCCCTTCTACCAAAGAAACTGTTGGCAGCCTAGCTGCTTTAAAGCATTCTTTTATCACATGGGTTTAAAATATCTACCGCAATCCTTCAAGTTGCAGTCTCCAGAGTCTCAAGAGTTTACGCCCCCTAAATATTTTATAAATGGAGACCTTTCATATTAAGAATTTGAATAAATTCTTAGTGTGTGCTCACAGTGAAGACTCAAATTACACATCCTGATGAAGAATGCCTGTTTTTATTCTAGTAACATTAAAAGTGAAAACTTCCCTTGTATCCTCTATTGTATTAACAATAGTCATTGCTTGCTCTGAAGAGCACTGTCTGAATGTCACCCACATTTTCTTTACATTATAGAAAAGACACACCTGTTTGTTTCTCATGAGAATATCTTGTCTTTGCTTACCAGTCGTCTCCCCCAAGTTGTTTCTACCTTACTAAATGTATTTGCTCTCATAGGTTGAATTCAGAGTGCACCTTAAACCTATTAATAAAATAAACAGAGGGAGCTGTTGCAGCTTTGTCAAATGAAGCTGGGTAGGGCTGAAAGGAATTTAAAAGAGAGAAATAGTATATGTGCTGATCATAATAAGTTGGGAAGGGAAAAAGTCAACAGATGCAAAGAACTACACTTGGGAAGGAAGAAATAAATACTAGCCTGTAGTAAAACAGAGAATAAGTGGCGAGGTATCATCCCTGCGGAAAAGGCCTGGGGGTTTCTGACTCATTTCTTTGCAGTATATTGCAATGTGATGTCATTCCAAAAAGGTAAATATTACAGGACTTTAATGTGTAATCATGGCGATAATTATTTTGCTATGTTTGATGTGGGTGATACTTCAGCTGCAGCACCAAATCCTGTGAGAGTAACTTAGAGGGCTGCAATAAAAACATCTTAGGCATTGAACATATGATAATGATTGAAGGTTAAAAGAAATGAGTGTTTTTCAGGGAGGGAAAATGGTACTAAGATGAACAATGCATAAGAAAATTTTGTGAGGAGATGTGTGAACTTTACCTTTTTGTGTATTGGATTTTTTTTGTGTGTGCGTGTTAAAGAGGAGCATATCAGTGGAAAAATCAGTCCTTCTGCCCTCTTTCCCAGTCTCATATAAAAAGTGGCTGCTTGACTGATCTTGTTTCCATCTTGTGAAAGGGTAAGTCTGTTTTTCCAGATTAAGGAAGCAGGCAGATTTCATTTCAGTGTCATGCTCTGTGCGTTTCTTTCTCCCCCCTCTTCCAGAGTGAATGCAATAGGCTTAGGTATACGCTGCCTGTTTTTTCAGGGAATATTCTTGTTCCCTATATAAGTCAACGGTGAGTGTTAGATCTACCCTCCCTTGTTAAATTTGTGAATAAAGAGATGGGTCCAGAGATCTTCAAAAAAGTGCACTTAAATCTGTTCTAGTCCTTTTTTTTTTTTCAATCTGAAGCAAGGGGAAATAGGAACTAAAATACAATAAGAGAGAGTTAATCTTCTCCTCAACACCCAAATCTTTGCTTTTTATTTGGAAGTTGTTTGGTGTGATTTGGATGAAGGGAAGAGACTGCAAAAGGATTATAGATCTGTGTTAGTGTTCCCATTATACAATGAAGTCACTGAAGCTTTGACATGCAAGTAAGCTTTTTTTTTATTGTACTATAAATAGGACTACGTTAATTTTACGTCTTGTAAAATACAGTAGTTAAATCAATGGAAAGAATTGATGTGCTTCTGGAAAATTAGAAGCAGCATGTATTTTTTAAATTTTAAAACAATGTTGTGGTAATACTATGTTATATATGAGATGTACAATGTTATATATGAGATCTGTGAAAAACAGGAATGCTGCAAAAGGGGCATCCTTCACTTGGGACATATGGTCTTCACTAGCTTGGACAATATCCCTGGGAAGTGCTGAACTTGAAATTGCTACTCCAATTCTGGATCAGTTTTTCTTGATTTGGCCATGTTATTTGCAAACAGTGAAGTGTATCTCCATGTTGCAAATAGGACAAAATGTACTCTTATATTTGACATAATGCAATGATATTTGGTAATACTTGGTTGTTCTTTTTCCCCTTTTTTCCTTTCATAGTAAGAATAAACCATACATTGTTTCCTTCTGTTGTTTGTTCTGTCTGACTTAATTTTCTTTTTTTTTTAGACAGCATAGAGAACTTTAGTGTAAAACAAATTATAGCAAAGAGGTCTATTTAGAACCAAACTGATGTGCAAAATTCTGTGAAGGTAGTAAAAGCAAGTGCGTAGGTCTCCAGGATGACACATGTCATAAGTGTTTCTGTTGTGAAATTAAAACTTGACCTTTTTTCAAAAGTTTGGTAAGTTGAAATTGAGCATGAATTATTGAGCTTTTGACTGCTATAAAAAACTTTACTTTTAATACTCAAGCTACTTCTGTATAGCATTGAATTGAAAAGAAACTCAGGAGCATTACTTTTCATCATAATGTCTTTTTTTTTTTTTTTGTTTTTAAAAAAATACTGTTCTCTTAAATAACTTGATGTTAATAGTCCAGTCCACACTGACTTATGGAACGTTATATCAAAACTAAAATTCACCGTGCTTTAATTTGAGAGAGCTGATCTACTATGTGTTGCATTTTATGCAGAATTATTCAAGATCCTACCTCTTTATTTGGGCCATATTATTAAAGGGGTGCTTTCAACTGATTTTTGTAGTAAGTGATTTTATGGCAACCTAAGTGTGTGTGGTCTTGAAATTGAATTCTGTTTTTTAAACTACGCATATTATTATCCTCATAGCAATTTGTGGTAAGAGTTATACTTGCAGAATTCTTTACTGTGGGCAGTTAAAATTAACTGGAACATAAAGCCAAGTGGCCACATCACACTTCATATTAAATTTTAGCTGCCACTCAACTAAGTAATACTGGCACACTTCATCTTGGAATGGTGTTTATTTTGGCTGAGAATGTCTGACACTTGTACAACCTCTGGCAATGTTACCATTGTTGTTAAAGAAGCAAGAATTGCAGTATGTGAACATCTCGTAGTAACTTATTTACATAAGTTTAGAGAAATTAAATGGGGTTAACCAAAAGAAGTCTAGAGAATTTTTTTTTTTTTCCATAATTTTAAAAAGTTGACAGAGGAATTTCTGATCTCTTTGAAATGTGGTGTTTGTTACAACTTGCGATACTCTACAGTGGACTAGTCATCAGCATGTGCTTCTGAACAGCTGGTACAGTGGGATCCAGATTTCATGGGGCCTCCACCAGTGTGACATCCATTTTATGTGCCAGTGGGCAGTTCCAGAATTTGGAAAGGACTGCTTTTTGGTAAGATGACAGTCCTGCTGCTTCTTGCATGTCCTTTGCCATATATAAACATGGTTACCTTTTGATTCCTGCAGGCATTATGCAACTAGCTGGTAGTTCTTTGCTTCCTCCCTTACAATAGAGGAAAATCTAGGACTTGTACCTAGGGCTTCACGGAGTGAGGTTTTACCTGCAATTTTGTGGGGCTGCAGTTGTCCAGTTTTATGTGGGTACTAGCAGAAAGCGATACTTCTAAAACACTTGGGGAATTTTCAGGTGAGAAGTGAACATCTTCACACCACTGTAATATTTGGATAGCAAACTTAGGAACTGTGACTAGCTATTGACAGAGGAAAAGGATGCTGTTGTCTGTGGAGAACTGTTGTGTTACAGAATTACAGCACTGCACAGACAGCATTGTAGGTGAGCAAAGCAGATGCAGTATTTAAACCACTCGGGGAGACATTCAGACTTGCAGGACTTTCATGTATGTGAACACCCAAAGACTTAAACTAAGCTGTGTGTTGATGGTAAAAGACTTTGTAATCAGCGTTTAAGCTGGTAGTAGGGGAAAAACTGATGATTTTTGTTTCATGCTAAATTTTATTTTTCAACTTTGAAAATGTCAAGTTTTGCTTTTTATTTCATTTTTTTTTATCCTCCTTTTGTTTTTCTGGAAGTATGTACATAAAAAGGTCAATGGATAAGAAGAGAAGCAATCTAATGTGAATTCTAGCAAAAAGAATGCTGTAGCTCTTGATGTTTGGCATAGCATGGAGGTTATGTGATAAGGGTGCATGTAAAAAACCTGTTGATTCGGATCTTTGAACAGGACATCATGCATAAACAGTGTGAAGTATGCACAAGGAACATATAAAACAATCCTGCTAATAATCGAAGTGTTTTTGAAAGTAGGTGTATAATTTTGATTAATTTGATAAACTTCTGTGTAAGTAGAGAGAAGTGCT